GTCATTGCCATAAAGGACACCAGATTTTCTAACTTGCTATCAAGTAAAAAACATTACTTGTGCTACAATCATTGTGAAGTTACATCCACAAATGTTAGGAAACAAGGAATACACAGGCATGAAATGGCTAAAGCAGAAATGGGAGAACCTTCCTTTGATCCAGACACCAAGTTACTTGGAAGCCACATAGAAGCCAGTTCTTCCTCTAGTGCTTTCTCTCTCTGCCCTGCAGAAAATGGGAAGTGAAACCACAGCAAAGAAAGATCAGCTCCTTCAAAAGGTGCTGCTTCGAAACAGCTTGCCTAGGAACCTTGTTTCAGTCAATTCTCCTGTACTAGACTTCCTTTCCTGACTAGTCTTTCTCAACAAGATGCAACAGATTCAGCACCTGGGCTATGAGTGGGTGTGCTCAATAATTGGGAGGAACTTGAGGGATCACACGCTTCTAAAGCGACCATTTTACTATCTAAAACTTTTCATGTTTCCTCTCCTTCCCAGACATAGAAGGAAAAAACATGGGCACAAATTTGGGTGCACCTAGGGACCTAAAAAAGAGAGACATGCTGTATCATTTACCTTATGATTTTGTCTTAAAACTCAAAATAAATTCAAATTGGAAACTTATTGTTTCTTTTGGCATTTATATTGAGATAGTTAAGTTAGAATTGGGAGCTGCCCCCTTAAAGGAATGCCCCATGGTAAATGTAGTTAATGCATCCTGGGAAATGTAGTTCATGTCATGTAGTTACATCTGTAATCTTGATTGTTCACTGAATTTACCTTTGGTTGGGTTGGGGGAGTTTCATTCACTCTTTCCTGGACCCCAGCAGCATGCTGGTGTCTCACCCCCTTGCTCCTTCATTATGGGGTGAAAGATCACTATTCTTTGACACTATAAAGTCATCTGAGCAAAGAATTGGACATTAAGATGAATCTCGACGTAACAGTGAGTTATATTTGAGGATGCCTTGTGAACCAATAAAAAAACTTTGTATGGAAGCCTTTGTAGAGTTACCTGTTCTGTCTTTTAATTGGCTGGCTGAATATAAAGATAGACAGGTAACTTTACAAAAGCTTCCATACAAAGTTTCTTTAAGGGGCAGCTCCCAATTCTAACTTAATATCTCAAGTAGCATTACTTATATACTGTCTAGACAACACAATTAGTCAAAATCTACCTACTTTCACTATGTTTATTTGAATTTTCTAACTGCAAATCACAGATCCATGAGGAAAATAGTTTAACATGGAAGATACTTTTTATTTCAGTATGCTGAAGAAAGCCACACAATCCCTCTCTGTTCTTTTTAGGCCTTGGTATAAAGTCACTGATGCATTTCATCTGAAAATTCCGGCAGTTAACAAGACAGCAAAAGGAAAAATAAAGGACTATAAGCTGTTCTAGAAAATTTGATAAAACTGAATGATGTGCAGGATGGTTATTGTTTATAGCCTAAATGCAGTTAGTATTTTTGCATATTGAAAAAGGAAATAGGCTTAAAAACAGCAGTACTTTTATCTGCTTTCAAAATCAAGTATCTAAGCGCAGTTGAAGGGAGAAAGAACTCCCAATGTCTCATACTAGACATTTTGCTAAGCATTCCAATTGGTCCTTTCACAGAAATAATTGTATCTTTCATTTGATTAGATATAGTTGCAGTTAAATAGCATGATGATGGTATAATCTAATTAATGGCTTTATTGTTTACAAACTGATTTCTTCAACTTTGTCTCAGTATTCCAGTTAAGAAAAATTGACTGAGGTAGCATCATGTTTTATTTAAAAATAGTGATATTTATATCATTAGCTGACAGCAGTATAGCAGTAGCAATAGCACTTAAGACTTTTGTATTATAATATCCAAATAATATTCCCTACCCACTTATTTTTGTTTCATTTTTTCTTTGCCGTGAAGTAGACACAATGCAGTCATAACAAAATGTTTACTTTTAAGATAATTCTTCAAATCTGCATCTTTATAAAAAATAAATCCTTTAATAAATATATGTTCAAATATTATCTAGAAAAAATGCCTTGGCTCTTTCTTGAAATAATTTTATTGAATCATGTTCTGTTACAGTAATAATATTTATATAATGCTAATCTATTCAATTAATGATTGAGATACGGGAAACATTTTAGTCAAGAACCATAATATAGAATGAAAAAATATTTGCAAAGGGTTTAAAGATAACCATATATCTTTATATACAAAATTTAACATATAATCCTATATTTTTAATGTACAAGAGATTTCGGTGGAGGAGTATTCTATCAAAGGACCTCAAGTTGTAATCATCTTAAAATGTTCAAAATATCTATAGTATATCTGAAAAATCTTGTGATATTAATACATGCTAGCTATTAAGACAATTTGCCTTAATGATCTTAAAGTGGAAATCAATGTAGAAAGAGGTATTTGAAAAGGAGATACAATGTCACCTATCCCTTTCTCAGCCTGCCTTGAAGAAGTATTTCACAAACTAGACTGCGCAAAAGATGGAATAAAAATCAATGACAAATATTTAAATCACTTGAAATTTGAAGATGTTGATACAAAAGCTAAGAGTGGCGCAAAGAACCATAGAAAGATACATGCTCGGTTTTACAAGAAAGAGACCTACACATGGATTAGAGAACAAACAAAAGTATACAATATCACCAAGAGAGCAAAAGGATTGAAATGGAAATGGGATGGTCACATAGCAAGAACTGATGGCAGGTGGACCAAGGCAGTCATGGAATGGATCCCACTTGATAAAAAGTGTCCATGAAAGTGACCTAAAACAAGATGGATTGATGACATCAACAAGTATTGTGGGCCCAATTGGCAAAAGAAAACTCTGGATTATATGTGTTGGAAACATGCAGAAGATTCCTTCATCCTGCAGTGGACAGACAATGGCTTATGATGAATGATTTATCAAAACATTTAAATCATCAGTATTTTGGTCTACTTATTTCTTTCACCACAAATCTGAGCACTTGTAAATTAAAATTACTACTGTAGCTAATTTGTAATTTCTACCTAAAATATTATTTCTTTCAAAAATATACTAGGAGTCTTAAACTGAACAGCTTTTCTCCTTGTCCTCCATTTATATCAAACCATTTTTACGTGCTTTCAAGCTGCTAGGTTGGCAGAAGCTGGGACAAATTACCTGTCTCTAATTGGATCAATTTCATATAGCTAAGAACTGTTTCAAAATGTTTCTAGGAATGTTTCTGTTCTGGCCAAGAATTTTCCTTAAGCAAAGTTATTTCTTTTTACTATTCCATTTCTCTTTTTCAACTATATATTCCATAACTACTATAGATGTTTAGTATTTATTGCTTAAATATGTTTCTTTTAGTATTTGCTTTGAAAAGATATGTACTTTTCTAAACTTTGTGACCACCCTGAAAAAAACCTGAAGAAACCTAAAGAATTCTTCTACTCTCTTATCCACAATGCTATTAGCACTCAGTTTACCGTAAAAATGGCAGGCAGTCCTTTATACATGACTGTTGTGGTTCGCTGGCAGCTGGTACAGACGGCACCAGAATCGGACAATGGGGAAGAATGGGGACCAGTCTGGGAGTCTGGAGGACTCGGACGAGGGTCCTGCATCCAATGCAGAGATGGGGCCAGGACCATCTGGGAATGGGGTGGTGCTGCCTCTGGAATCTGGAAGCAGCGCGGCAGGGGACCCAGGGGAACCTATCCCCTGTGTGTGTGTGCGCAGAGCTGCTAAAAGGCAAGAGCAGCTAAAACAAAAGGGGAAACTCGGGAGTAAGGTCTCCCAGAAGCTATAAAGGACAAAGATGACAAAACCTTTGCAGGAAGCAAAGTAGTTCGTTCAGTTCAGATTCATTCTTGAAGCTCTTTGTACTTCACTTAGTTTCTTTTCTAGTTCATTGGACAGTTCTATTATTGGCAGCACTTCACAGGAAAGAAAGGTGGGTACTTATCTCATGGGACTGATTGAGATTCATTACCAGCTGGGAATGAAAATAATTCCCAGTGTTGCAATAAAACAAGACTTGTTTTAAGTGTGTGTGTAATTACGGTCTCAGAAGCCTTGGTCAGAACAATGACCACTTGTTTAGCAATCATTTGCAATTATGATAGTGCTGAATAAGGAGACTGGTCCTCGAAGTTTCAGCTATTGCAGTGCACATGTGATAATAACTTGACTGCTTGAGAACCAGCACATAATGATGACTGTTACAGCATCCATGATCTTATGATTTCCATTTGTGACATCACTTCCGGCATCTGATAAAAGTCAAAGAGGAAGACAGCAGGAAAGCGTAATTCATGGTCATATTATGTTGTATGATTCACTTAATGACCACAACCAGAACTCTGTTGTATGTTTGTGCAGTTATGCATATTTTTACTTTACAATCACATCACTTAGCAATGGAGTTTCTGGTCCCAATTACAGTTGCTGACTGAATTATCAATGTATTTGTAAATAAATGTTTCATTAATTTTTTTGTGAAATGTATATATGTTATATATAGTTAATTTCTTTTATCCCAGTCAACTTTCATTCATAGGTAATATAGATAAAATTACTCCATAATTTTTTACATTATTCAGACCACTTGGTGATGAAAAGCAATTGATGCAGTATTTCAAAGGTGTATGAAATGAAATAGTTCTTAAATAACTTCCTTCCACTCTGCCTGAAAAAAGCAGGTTCCTCTCTTTTTAAACTTTTCATAGCCAAATTTAAAATGGCTTATTAGGATAGAAACAAATAGATTAATTTCAGTAATGTAAGATTGGAAACAGAGTCTTGCTTCAATTGATTCTCATCTTTTTACTATCAAAATATATATTTAAGTTAATAATATATAATAATATAATTAATAAAATATAAAGTATTTTATTGATGTTTGTGACAAACATTTTAAACCACTGTTTTCACAAGTTCAATACAACATGGAACATTTTGCAATAAAAAACTGACAATAAAAGTTAAAAAAAAAGAAAGATACATTACAATTTGATTATCTCTTTTATTCCAATAAACAGCTTACTAATAAATAAGTCAGGATACATCTTGTCTGATTAAATCTCCAAAATAAGCAGTTATGGTCTTCAATCTGTTATTCAGAAAATTTTGTTCTATTTCAACTTTCCCCCCTGGTCCAGCTAACGAAGCTACCTGTAAAAAAAAAGTCAGTATCAGAAAATTAGACATTTGAGATATAGTTGCATTTATTATGGGAAAACCCCTAGTATAAGTTTCAGTAATACTTTATTATTTACCAAGCGGAACCTTTTTCCACCAGCCATTTAATTTTAGAATTAGGGTTACAAATGGTTTCTTTCCATAATGCCTTTTCCCAGCATCTCTTTTAGCATGAACTTATTCCAAACTTATAATAAATGGATAGACAATCACTGATTTCAAAATCCTATTCAAGAAATAACTGGTCATTGGTAAAAATATTTTCCTCATATCAACCCTGAGCTACAAATATTCTCCTTTACTAGTACCAAATATTTTCCCTCTTCCCAAACATGCTGACTGGGTGCACAAGACAATTTAAAAAAAATCAAAAGTGGTAAAAATAAGACAAAGAGAAATTTACGTTCCCTTCCACTTTTTGTCTGTTCCTGCCTAACCCTTATTTCAGGCTTTTTCAGACCTGCTGTAAAAATAGCAGCACATCACATATCAAAGGTCCAGGCTACAAAATATTCTGATTAATTTTTGTTCCTTTCAATATTCAAGTGCTTTATACAGTATATAGATTTTCCTTCTGGAATATGGAAGCTCAATCTGGCTGCAAAAGCTGTTGGAAATGCCCAGGTGCTCATGTGTTCAGCATTTTATGTTTGTTCTGATGTCATCTGGCACGCCCACTGCCAGACATAGTATCAACCCCCATCTATGTCACAAAAGATCCTTGTGCAAGAATGTAGTCAAAATAGATTTTCCCTAACCTCTATCTTTCTGTAAAGGAAAAAAAAAATATTTGCCTTTTCAGCATCCAGTCAGTCCCACAGAAGGAAACCAAAAAACAAGAAGTAATATATTGAAGCAGGAAATATAAAAACCATGAAGGCTTTTTTAAAAAAAACAAAACAAAATAATTTTGAAAGAGGCAAGAGATAGGCAAGAAAGACTTGGAAAAGATATAAAACCCAAAGCATTAAAACTTGAAAACTCCAATCCCAAAGATTTGCTAAAGTATTAGTTTAGAAAGTATCTACTCAGGAAATACAGGATAAATGTATTAATATTATAAATTAATTACACACTGTACATACACCGAAGTATTTTCTGTATACATTATGTAATTAAGGTATTAACTGGTACAATATATTATAATAGCTAAATAATTAGAATTTAAAAAGATTCAATGACCAATGAATAAGTTCATCAAAGGATCTGGGGGAGGAAAAGGATGACAAATCAGCCAACACAAATGGAATTTTGCTGAACTGTTTGAAAGTTAAGAACTATCTATGACAATTTATTGATGTTCATAAAATTATTATTAACATTTCTATTTAGTACAAAAACTAGTCAGCGTAGAATATATTCATTGTATTATTTGCCACTTCCATTATTACTACTTAGAAGAGTTTCTTTAAAATTTTGTTTAGTCAAATGTATGAAAGACCAAATAATTCTGATTTTTTTGTATTTTACATTTAATGAACTCCTAACTGTTATATGACAATTTTCACTTTTTCTTCTCTTAAGACTTAAACACAAGTTTAAATGCACTGGACTTTCTCTCTGTTTAAATGATTATTAAAAATAAAATCTAGCTATGAAGAGTGATGAAGAGATGAATATTATTTTTAAAATAAATTGTGTGATTCTTTTCACACAATTACCCTGGGATGCAAAAGTAGAAGTAGTCGGCCATCTAAAAAACTGCTTAAAACAAAACAAAAAAATCCCCAAAGAAAAATTCCAGATTCAAAGTTTAAACAATATCAGAAATTGTTACACTGTCAATATACCATCAATATATTGGCTCAATATATTGAGTCAATATACACTCAATATACCGGGAAGGTATATTTTCATTCTCATGTGCCATCAAATCTGTGTTGACTCTTAGCATCCATTAGACCTTCTCTGTGATGGTCCATCCATTCCAGAATTCTTACTGAAGGCACAAGTGATCATAAAATATGCTACACTATCTTGAGCCTCCTTAAATTGTTCTATTTGTATATGTGCTGTTGTTGCTTCAATAAAAGTTTAGTGACCTTTACATTATTACCTTAAACAAAACTCAGAAAAACTTCCTTAATTGAACTACTGAAATAGTGTAAATTATACCTAGCCATTTTAACTATTGGGCCATTATGAATGTCCATTATTTTTAAGTGCAGCCTAAACTAAAATCTCAGTTGTGCCAGGTAATTGCACCACCGGATTATAGAATACTAGCTAGCTATTCAATAGTTACTCTCCTGCTCCTTGTGTCAATAAGATACATATCACACAATACCACTAGGAGAGTTATATTGAGAATGTCTGTAACTTTATAATTCAGGATTCTTCACAGGTCACTGAACTTTGACATTCAATACTGTAAGGGGAACTTCTGTATTACACAATTCTTTTTAGAGAAATTGTGTACAGTATTACTCAATTCTTAGTGCGAAAGATAACTGCACTCAATTGTTCCTGCATGTTTAGTCAACAAAATTTTATTCTATTTGATAGCTTTTTCCACCAAATAAATTGGACTTAAGTCTCAAAATTGCTATGCAGATGCAATACTGTATAAACATATATAGAGTGACACAGCACATATAAGTATTTTGGTTTTAAGGACATTAATCCTATTTTAGGGCAATACAATACAATATTTCCTTTCTAAAATGGTTGGAAACAAGGTGTTGAATTTCCACAAGCGTGGTCTGAGGGGTTTCTGGGACCCATAAAAAGAATTGGGGCAGCAAAAAAGCATTCAAGATCCTGATTATCTATTTCTGCATTAAGCAATTTGATTATACTTAAATGACATGCTTTTTATTTTTAGTTTGAGTGTTGTAGAAACTATGTAGTTCTATTCTTCTAACTCATAATGGAGTTCAGTTCAAGTTGTAATTATTAGTATTACACTTTTACATATTAACTGGTGATCCACTTTTTACAGTCACAGAATAGACAACTAATAGGGAGTTCAGGGGATTCAATCCCAAATTTGAATATGTTTATGGGAAATAACTGCATGTGCTATATGGTTAGAGTTCTCCTGCTTTAGGATATTCGGGATGTGTCTTTATCATATCGCTGACCAGGTGGTTATGCCATCTGCAGTCAACAGGGCTTTTAGCCCCTCAACCATCTGGGGCCCCAGAACACGAAGCAGCATTCCTCTTGGAAAGTAATTCACAACAGTAACTCATGTTCCTGTTATTATGAAATTGCATTTTTAGTTACCCTACCTTTAAAGGTAATTAGCAAAAATGCAACAGCATTGTGCCAGCAGCATGTTATAATTTTGCTGCAGGCCCTACAAAGATAACCAGGGTTTCCTGGTTTCTACATGCAATTTTAAATGCTAGTTTTGACCTATAAAGCAATATATGGCTCCAGGACAGCCTCTCCAACTACAATCCACCTTTCTCAGACATCACTTGGCAAGTTGACAGAGTAGGACACTAGGCCAGGATTAGCTGTTTCTCCAATATGGTTCTCATTGTGTGGAACATCTTTTCTGTGGACATTCAGTTTGCTCTGACATTGATGGTCTTCTGGAGGGCTTCCTTTTAAATTTAATGAAGATGATACCATCTTGTGAATTTTCTTTTTCTGTGTTTCTATTTTTGATTTTACACCAGTTGTTTTTATTTCTGATTATGTTTTTTTGTTCTGTGGATATTTTGTGTGTGTCTACCATTGAGAATTGTATGATAATAGCACTACATACATTTAATAAATGAATAAAATCAAAAGTATTAACATTTATGAAATGATCTAAGACCACAATTGCTGATTTCAAGGTCTTGAATCTTGTAAACTTCTTTATGGAAGCTTCCCATAAAACATTTTCACAATCATCTGCACTTCTGCAAAAAGAGAACTGGCTCATGTGTACTTTGCAGAATCCCCCCCCTTTTTAAAAAAAAAAACCCCATATATTACCCATTATCCCTGAAAAAAGTACAATACATGAGTACTGTAATAGTGGTATTTGTATTATAAGTAGATAATTAGAACTTTTTAAGATCTAATAAAAGACTAAAATATCAAGGTATAACTTTAAAAGGTTTAATAATGAATGATAATAAGTTTTAATAAAATACTAAAGGGAATGTTTAAAATATTAGTTTGAATATAGAGTTTAATGGATTAATGTGTTGGTTGTTATGGATTTATTATTGTAGTATTGGTTTTTGAAATAGTAGAATGTACTAAGCAGAATCTGATTGGGATTTAGGTGTTATTTTAAATTTTAACTTAGGGGAATGATAGAAAGGCATCATACTCTGATTAGTGATTCCAGGGGGAACTATTCTTTCTTAAATTGGAAATGAGACAGATGTAAATGGAGAAATGGACAAAAGATATAAAAATATTTTTTTTTTAAAAAGCAAGATTAAATATATAAAACAGAATTAAGATGAGACAAAAGTGGAGAGGAGTTATATAATAGATATAGAATGGTAAATAAGATGGGTAATGGTATATAAGAAGAGCGTGAATACAATTGAGTCCATACAAAAAGAGGTAATCTGGGGCCAAGTTACTTTCTAGAAGAAAGTTTTATGTTTTTATGTCTATGTTTTTTTATGTGTGTGTGTTTAATTAAGAATTAAATAATAAAATCTCGGAAGAAGACTAGATGAGAATAATTATAAACAAGCCAGAGGAAAATATAAAGTTGATGACTGGATAGCAGATAAATCAGAAAGGAAATATGATTGAATAATGATTAAAGAGAAACAATGTGGAATTTGGTAAAGGGAATTTACGTGTTTATATGGAAATGGGATAAACTATAAGTACGTGATATAAAGCAATATGTTACCTGCCTTGTAAGGATCTACAATGGAAAGAGGTTTTATGTTTTTAATGTTTAATGATGTTTTGTTTTGTTTGTTTGTTGGTAAAATCAATAAAACTTGTTTAAAAAAAAAAGAGAACTGGCTGTAATTACTGCTTGCGTCGGAGCAATAATGCCGTAAGTAATGGGACATACTCAATGTTAGTAACTTCTGATTGTCAATATTTTTGACTGTTGGTCTTAATAAAATATTGATTTGTCTGAAAATTTTGAAATTACAGTACAAAAGTTATAATCTCAATAGGTTTTACTAAATTTTATACAAACTTGGAAAATTTCAAGATCCTAGAGAATAATCTAGAGTCCATTACTATCTATTTTGGGATTGCAATGAACTACACATTTCTTTCATTTGATAGGCTTGATCAACGTGAATAAATGGTCATTTAAATAACAGTTTTATAGCACGGAATGCTATTCTGCTTCACTATCAGCTATCCCAACAATTTCAAAAACTCCAGACAGTATAGACACTGCTTTCTCCTACTTTTTCCGACAACAACAAACAAGAGTGACTGGCCCAAAGTTATCTACTGAGTTTTGGTGGCTCAGGATAGGACAGAACTTGAGTTTCACACTCCTTATCTACTAAAGCACTACATCTCTGAACTTTTAAAACAAATTAATGTTAAACATGTATTACAGTGCCTGCAAACGTTCTCATGGTTTTAGCATTTATCTAACCCTAACCAGTTTTGCTCCAAATGTGTCCAAACATGGTCTGAACAGTCCATTTATTCTGTTTTAAAATATAATAAATTTTCACATTACATGTTTTTGGAATTGCTACTCCCTCTAGTGGAAATGTAAAGAAACCAAGTTTTGATAGCTGTAAAAAAAACCCAGAAGTATACATACCAAGCTATGTTTTAATTCCAGATAATAACTGTTTTGTTTTTGACAACCCACAGGAGGATATTTACATGTCTACAATTTAAACTATAACAAAACTGGAAAGTCAATGCTACATATGTCACAAATAGGGAATGTTGATAACAGACACAGAACAGACCTCAAAACACAGCCATTCAGTTTTACCATTCTTCCCAGTCTTTTTCTAAACTGTAAAAAGTGATTGTAGGGAGTGCAAAAGTTAGTTTAGTAGAGGAATAAGAGTCTTTAGAACCTTTAGGACAAAATATGCAAGAATTTTGAGAGTCAAAGAGATTCAAAATAACTCTACCTTGATTCTGTTTGGTGTAAAATGTGAAAAATAAGCACTTGTTCTGCATCAAAAATAGATACATACACTACCGGTTATATACTTTATACCAAAATTAGGCAATCTACATTATCTTGGAATTTCATAATAGTTCTGAAGAGAAAGCCAATTCCATCTCCCTATTGAAGTTTTGAAATAGAGGCAAGAAGAAATACAGAGAAGCTTAGCTATAATTACCAAGTAAGATGAAAATTTATTTTGTTTAGTTGAATGAATTTATAGATCAATCCGCAAATGATTCTGAATAGCGTACATCCTTACCTCTGTAAAGTGTGTTAAAAAAACAATACAAGAAAAATAACATCACATTATACAAATTTACAAACAGACCAGAAAACTAATTTACACTTTAATTTCTAACTAAACGTGTTCATTTTATCTATAATTTATAACTCACCTGATCTATGTCAGCATTACGTGGAAGAAAATAAACAATGTTGTTGGTAATCTTCTGGGACAGGTTAAAAATTTCAAATGTAAAATTGTGTTAAGAAAAAAAACCAAATGTTATATTGCAATGGTTCTTTCAGCAAGACAACTTTCTTAAATATACATCCTTCCACATATAAAAACTAAATTCCAAATATTTTTATCTAATCATAATCTAAATAAGAATTATTTTTACTGAATAACCCTTGGGAGGATTTATTGCATTTTTCATCTGTTCAAGAAATAGAAATAGAAAACTGAGCCAGAATGGGAAAACCAGCTTTTGAACTTGCTTCCTTTTTAACTGATGGGGACTTATGAATTAACCCATATTGAAAGAGCAGGTATTATCAGCTTGGAATGGTTAAGTTAGCTCAACAACAGTAATTTCTGTAAGTTCCTTATTATAGAGATGTTTTACTTCCATTCTTTCCACCTCATTTTCGTTGACATTATACTGCATTCTGAAATGAATTAGTGCATTCTACCATGTTTGTTTGTTTGTTTGTTTTTATAGCCTGATTTCCAATAAAGGACTTACTTAAAACAAAACTGAAGCATGCTAATCTGGACAATATTATTACACTGCTAATAATAGCGGTTCACTGTAAGATTTGCATAGCATCTGAAATCTTTCAGCTTTATGAGCTGATTTAATGCTATTAATACTATTTGTTTTACTTTACAGATAGAACTTACTATACAATATACAAAACGTGCAACTTTGTAAGAACAAAAACTGTTAAATCTGATAATTTTAAAAGCAAACATACAAATCTTTCAGATGACTTAAAATTCATTTTTCAAAACTTTGTACAAAATTAGACAGCTTCAAATACTGTAGTTCACATAATAAATGCAAAACCTCCATGAGAAATGATTAAAAAAATACACTAAAAATCTTACTGATATTTCCTTTGACATCTATTATAATAATAAGCAAACAAAAAGAAGTTTTGTGACTTTTTGAGGCGTTCTTCATGCTATCTGAGCTTGGTTGTTTTCTTGCAGACATTTCATTACCCAAACCAGGTAATATCATCAGAGCACACCAAAGACCCATTTCAACCCTGAGCTACAACTATTTTCCTTTATTTGTATATGGCTTTTTATTTACCACATTGTTCACTTCTCTTAAAGTTAGAAATCTCTTCCCACTGGTACACAGACGTCAATCTGCAACTTTATCATCTGCAACTTTATCATCTGCTTTGCCACTTTAAACAAGAATTATACAAATTTCTTTTTAAGCTACAAAGATCACACCTAATATCCTTAATTCCATTAAAGAAGATCACTGTTGATTAGAAACAAATAGCACTAGCAATAGCACTTAAACTTATATACTACTTCATAGTGCTCTACAGTGGTCTCTAAGCAATTTACAGTCGGCATATTGCCCCAACAATCTGGTTCTCATCTTAGCGACCTCAGGAAAAAGGCTGAATCAACCTTGAGCCTGTGAAAATCAAACTGGCAGCCGGCAGTCAGCAGAAGTAGCCTGCAGTACTGCATTCTAACCACTGTGCTATTACAGCCTAACGTTAAAATACAGAGCTTTGTCACTTAAAGGAAAATAATATCAGTTTTACCTTTAGGGTTACAATAAAATGATTTTTAAAAAAGGATATCCATCAGGAGAAATCATTGTTTGAATATCAAAGATTTCTGCAGCAGCATATTCAGGCCCACCCCAGGGAGGACTCAAAAACACAACATCTGCTTTCAGACTGGATGCCAGCTTCATGAAATCACCACATATGAATTCTATCTGGTCTGCCACTCCATAAACCATGGCATTATTGTGAGCAAGTTGGATCTTCACAGGGTCAATGTCAACTGCAATTACTGAAAAGATGAAACTATTTTAAATATTAGCAGCTTAAAAAGAAAATCCATGAAATAGAAAATTTCAGATACTTTCTAGAAAAATAGTAATTAGCCTAGCTGTAGCTAAAATTATATTTACAGTTACTGCCTACATCTGTAGTTGTTTAACCAGAATAGATTAATGAACTGAAAAATTTTGAAGGGTGTTCTTTTTTTTTTTTTACAATTAAAACGGCAACACCTGGACTTCAATTCCCACAATTCCCCAGCTAGAATGCTGGCAGGGGAACTCTGGGAGTTGAAATCCAAGTATGTTAAAGTTTCCAGGTTGAGAAACACTAAATGGGAACAATACTTATCCTGAACTAGCAATCCATTATTGCTGCTATGAAATATCTAGTAAAGTTCAAACCAAGTTAAAGAATTTACCTCTTTTTGCTGCCAAGGCAAACTGAATAGCATTTCCCCCAACACCACAAAAGGCATCTACTATTATGTCAGAGTCAAAGGATAGCTTTACACGGTCTGCAATGTGTTGAGCAATCTTCTCAGGTGTTACAGAAAACCATCCCTCTAATAAAAAAAAAGCAGTTAATATATTTATGATATGGCCTTAAAAGAACCTCAAAATCAAATAATCAACTACATCAGTGCAACTGCATTTTATCGAATAGCCATACATAGTTGTATAAATTAAGAACACAAGTGTAAAATTGCCCTGCAGAATCACACAAAGGCATCCCTTGCTCAACCTCCTAATTCCCAGGAGGCAGATTTTTAGGTTCCATACTGAACAGCCATCCACACTGGCATGTAATAAGAAATTAGAATTCCTGGTTCTCCTGACATACTGTATGTATAAGTTTGCAAATATACCCAGCTCGTGTGCTCCTCTCGTCAGTTTTTCCTTTCCCATGGCAGTTTCTTGTAATGCTTGAATCCAGCACCCTGCTCTCGTAGTCTTGGACTACAGAAACAATGCTAACCTTTGTTGGCTTATGTTGCTGAGAATTCTGTGATTGACGTAGTCGAGCATCACAGTAAGACACTGGTATTTGGCTCACTTTCTTCTCATGAGAACTGAACAGACTGCATGTACAGGTAGTCCTCGACTTACAACCATAATTGAGCCCAGTATTTATGTTGCTAAACGTGACATTTGTTAAGTGAGCTTTGACCCATGTTAACACTTTCCTTGCCACATTTGTGAAGTGAATCACTACAGTTGTTAAATGAGTAACACAGTTCTTAAGTGAACCTGTCTTCCCCCTTGACTTTGCTTGTCAAAAGGTTGCAAGAGATTGTCAAGTGACCCCGGGACACTGCAACCATCGTAAATATGAACCAGTTGTCAAGCATCCAAATGTAAATCATATGCCCGTGGGGATGCTGCAACGGTTCTAAGTGTGAAAAATGTCACTTTTTCCAGGGCTGTTGTAACTTTGAATGGTCACTAAACAAACAAAAAGTTGAGGACTACCTGTACCAGTTTGGTGCTTGTTCACAATAAGTCACAAAAATAGGAAGGGGTACTAGTTCTTAATTAATTGCAAACCTATAAAATGACCACAGCATCAAACAGCAATTATGTATGTGAGTGATTCATCAGAGAACTTGAAATTAGTTTTTAGGTCATAGAATGCAGTATCATTATAAACTTACCTCTATCTAACTGAATCCCTTCATCAAAACGAGAAAACAGTCTATATCGTTGTGCCCAGTATTTAGTCAGCTCAGGATCATCGGCTATTTTGTGAGGAAGGCACTTCACATTTCTGTTTTTCCATTTCTGCATCTTTTTATTTTTCTTCTTTTTCATAGTATTTGCTTCACCTAAGTAAAAAAGAAAATCATTTTTTTAAAAGAACATTTAAAAAAATACCTTTAAGAACACCAAGGAATTAATTTCACCTCATCTTGTAAGACAATATTCCAGAATTTTCTATGCTGTTATGTGCTAAATTATTAGCATCTACTATAGTAAGAAAGCATAAATTCATTGGATATTTAAATGGCTGTATAAAATGTAAGGATAGTATGACACTTTAAAAATGGAAAGGAACAGAAAATCCCACCCAGAAAAACCTAACTAGAAAATTACCATTTGTTATTAGTAAATTATGTTTTTTTCTTATAACATTCCTGTCTATGCACTATACCAGGGGTCTCCAACCGTGGCAACTTTAAGACTTATGGACTTCAACTCCCAGAATTCCTCAGCTAGCAAAGCTGGCTGAGGAACTCTGTGAGCTAAAGTCCACAAATCTTAAAGTTGCCAAGGTTGGAGACCCCTGCACTATACAACTATGTACATCTATAAACACATTGTTTTTAATTCCACATACCTTCTGTTTCCATTTGTAGATAGTCTGGAATATCCAGGGGAATGAGTTCTCTTCCTAATGGAACTTCTTCTCCTATCAGCTTTTCTTTGCCTTTTTCTTCAATACTATCAAGTTCCTGGATATCTGAACTAGGATATAGCAAATCACAATTTTGGAGACTCAAATTCTTCTTTGAGTGAGAGGCATTTTCCTCTTCATCTGAATCACTGCTGGTAGAAGTATGATAGAGTCTACCTTCAGATCCAATTTTCACATCTTCATTTGCTTTTTGCAAGAATTTCTGTACCTAAAAATACTATATGTTATAAAATTTAAAATTTAAACAAAAAGATTCTACCTTTAGTAGACACTGCTTCAAAAATTTACCTTGAAGAAATAGAAATTTTTGGTAATTAATAGTTCTCATATGTATGGATCCTCTACTCACATTTAGATCTGTTAATATTTCTTTCAAAATAGACAGTGAAAAAGTGGGCAGAAATAATCCTTATATTGGAATGAATGGTTCTTTCCATAAATAGTGGCACAATCCTATTATAATCTTACCAGTGATATGGTTGCTATCTGTGAGATGCTGCAAAGGCATTTCCCGCCCCCTTAAAGAATTTGAATACTTATGCAAAGACTGAGGCCCTCCCAAATCTACTGATAATCTTCACCACACTGTATACTTAACTCTGTTATCAGAAAGAGGAAATGTTATCTATGTTTCATGTTTGTTTCCAGGACCTCACCATTGTGTTTTTCTTTCCAAATGCTATTATCTTTTTAATATATACACTTTTTATAAATACATGCTACTTCTACCTTTTCCCTTAATGCCTGTAGTGCAGAATGCCATAACACAAGTCACTGCAAGTGTCTGCAAACATTCTATATTGAGAACAAAGCCTTGTAATCATTTAGACTGAAAGTATTTCTTCTTGAGTTCCTAAGTTAAAACTTTCCTACAGCTATCTTTTATGTTGTTACTTAACATATGCTAGAAAATATATAATATTTTATATCATTTAATAATTGATATTATTCAATAGTTAAAACATTAACATTAGAAAATGTAGTCTACTATAATAAAAAAATAACAGAATACTTTGTGTACTATACTATATTACATATGCAAACAATACATACCTTATTTAAGGTCTTACTTTTCTTCAACATAAATGTTTCAGGTTCATCTGTAAAATATGTATGCTTGTTTTTAGTCTTGATTGTTCTGCGCATGTCCAAGAACTCTGATTTAAATTTAATATTTTTATTAAGACGAATCACTTTCTTTTCACTGAATCTAGGAATGTCTCTGTATCTAAAGACAAGAAGTTAAAATTTTACTATTTAGAAAGTTGGCCTACATTTTGTTTGCGTGTGGATATGTGTGAGATGGAGTAATATAAACAAAATTGTTTTCTTTTTAACTTATTAAAATTTATTTATATGCAGTCTATCTTTGGATACAGACGTTATAGCTAGTATATGATGAGGCCAGAATGGATGTAATCCAGTATTTTTAAAATGCATAAGGGTGCTTTAAATCTTGGCTTTAAAACACTTCCAAAACCATACAAATCAGCTGAGTTGATTCAGAGTTAGGGTTTTGAAGGATGAACCAGTTTTTTTTAAGCCTTTGCAATGATTTCTCCACATATTTTGTCCCTTAGTAATTGTCATGTAAACATGCTTAAACTAGAGAAAAAGAAATCTGAATTTGATATTTGGGTTGATATACATATGACTTGTAGACTTTCCATCTGTGATCTCTGACTTTCTCTAAAGTTGCCATATCTATAAGCCTATATCACAAGTTTGTAGATGTTATAATATACTAAAAAGCCTTAATATATTCTGCATCTTAAAAAAAAACCCACATTGATCTCCGGTTCACTCAAGGATTTGAAAGAGAGGCCAGAATCATTAGTATAATTTATATTCATTTCATTCTCTGCAGTCTTAAGAGTATTTTATTATTGTCTTCAATATTATAAATACATCAATATTTTATATATTGAAAAATTCTGGGTAGTCAATTGTATTTAGGCAGCACTGCGGGTTGGGGTAAATCTTCACTTAAAGGCATTGCTATTTTAGGAAAGTTCTAAAACAAATTTGACAATACTGAGATATGTGGACTTCAATTCCCAGAATTCCCAAACCAACATGCTGTCTTCAAATTGCTAAGTTTAAGCAGCTGGTCTATAAGATGTAAAAAAAAACATCTTTAGTATACATTACTTTTGTCCTGTGCCATGCTTGAACCCCAATTGGTAGAAAATTCCATCTGAATCACCCTGAGGATTTTCTTCAACATCTAGTTCATGGCTTGAAAGAAACCACAATATCCATTACAATTAAAAACATGATGAATAATTAAAAGTAAATCTTTGTTGCCTTCTGAACTGAAGATAGAGCATCTTATTTAAAAAAATAAATTAGAAATTACTCAAAGCAATTTATTTCACTCAAACAATTACCTTTTCACTCAAAACAATTTCTTTCATCTAATCAGCAGTGACCAAAACCTACCTGTCAATTCTCTCCCATCAGCTCCCCTGGCGGGAAGATTTCACGGGACTCTTATTTACAGAAACTTTGCCCTTGTGGCCGCAAGGAGGTAGAAACTCTCCACCATATGGTGCCCTGTCTATGTGTCCCAAGACATCTCTGATTGGCCCAACCATTTCCAAATATGAGGACTATGCAGATAAATTTTATTTTTATTATTTTTTAAAGGGTGCTAACCCCACATTCACAGATCAGGTGTCCAGATATTTTCACCAAGTTGTACAGCTGCACAAAACTTCTTAATTAGATCTATTTCATATATAATCATTTTTTCTTTCCCGGTTAAAAATGCTGTATTAAACTATTTCCTTGTTTACTTTACTCTTTTATTTCAAATACTGATCAAAGACTGCATTAAAGATATTTGATTTGATAACACTAGTTGAAATGTTTGTCATGTTTTCCTTAATTATGCAGTAATATATCAATGAAAACTGGCTAAATAGTTGTAATAGTATAAAAAATGCAAAAGCAAACAGTAAAATTTTTCTCCTACCTCCACAGTATGTGCATTATAGCAGAGACAAAACACAATAATTTAGTTATAAAAAGTAACGCTCATAAATACATATTTTCAGCAGAAAAGGAAAAACAGACTGTATCATGGAACAGAATATCCTTCTCTTTTGCAACATATCTGAATTACTTCTTAAACCAGGGGTGGGTAGCCTGTAGCCCTTGGAAACACCTGCTGAATTTGGCTTCCTCTCATTTTAAAATAGGAATAAAAACGATATATACATATGTACAAACGTATGTACGTGTATATATGCGTGTGCATATATATATAACACATATACAATGATGTCTGATTCCTGAACATCATCTGGACAAGTCCTTATAATTTTTTTGGCAAGGTTTTTTAGAAGTGGTGTGCCACTGCGTCCTTCCTAGTGCTTAGAGAGTGACTAGTTAGCTTTGTGCCTAAGACAGGACTAGAACTCAAGTCTCCTGATTTCTAGCCTGATGCCCTAACTACTATAAAATGGCTCTCACAAAAAAAAAGTAGTGTAAGGTTAAAATAGATGTACATGTTAACAGAAAAAAAGGGAAGCTCAACACAACTAAGAATGCATAATGAAGCCTCATGCTTCAGCCCTCACCACAACTATCAAGTATACTCCCAAGCTAAATAACATAAGAACAACAATCTGTTGACATAATGGATGACCTGCCTCCTCTTTAGTTTGACCGGTTTTTGCTCAGGGGGCTCCTCATCACCATCATTACTCTCAGATCCTCTCTCTGCTGTGGTATCCAAAAGTTCCTGCTGTGAAGCTAGTATAGAAAAAACATAACAGAATGATATATTTAAAATTAAACACTTTGAGAAAGAAATCACAGTTTAAGTAAATTAATTAATTGATCTATTTACTACACTTTCTGAAAGACAAAACAAAACATATAATACATATTAAAAGTACTTAAGCTTTTATGTTAGCATTAAAACTTGATCATGCCAAGCAACATTGATCACTCCTTATATCAAAAAACTGGTTTATAATAAAAAACAAACACATTTGTAATTTAAGGGTGTAAATCTTGGTAGGCACTGTTACATCATGAAACAGAACAATATTTTTAGCTCTGCTCTATACCTAAACATAATAAAATTTTCTTCAGAACATTGTAACTTCCTAATAGCAGGTATGTGATACAAAATAACATGCACAATTTGAAACCAGATTACTATTCTCAAAACCACATTAATGAATTTACGGATTTCAGCCAAAATGAGATAATAGTGTCCTCTTTATCATTGCACATTTCCTGATAATGAAGCTTGATTTATATGACCATCCAACTCACAAAAGTAACTCTAGGCAGCTTAGAGTTGTATAAAAGCTTAAAGCCATCCTTTTAAAGCATTCTCTAGGACAGCATTTAACACCCGAGGCTTAAGGATGTGGGACATCTATGCCCAAAATACTCCATCCAGCTCTGGGACTTGAAGTTTACACATTTTAAATTGCTGAGGTTGAGAATCATTGTTCTAGATTATTCAATAAACTTTAAAAATGATGAAACTGGGTGTGTAGCGTTGTGTACTATGCTGGTTAGTAATGTAACCTCTAAAAGCTACCGTGTTTCTCATATAATAAGGCCAGGTCTTATTTTTTTTTGAGCCCCGAAAAAATGGCTAGGCCGTCTTTTCGGGGGGTGACTTAATTTCCCCCCCCCCTTGCATCTTCGGGCGGGCGGGCAGGCGGGCGGCAATGGCTTGGATGTTGACCTCGGCGTTGGTGGGGCACTTCGTATCGGGGTCAACGCAGGCAGCACCATATCCGGGTATGCAACAAAAGTACTTCCTAATTGGCAAGCCTCCACCACCATTCCCCCCCATTTTGTATGTTTTAATATAGGCCTTAATTTGGGGGGAGGGGCTTAATTTCATTTCATGCCTATAAAACATGCTGGGACTTCCTATTGGGGGAGGCCATATTGTTGGAGAAACAGAGTATTTAAGCCTCCCTTTAAGTGGAGACACTTTAAAGCTTCAAATATGAGGTCCAAGCCAAGAAATGAACAAAAATGCTCTATTAAAATTGCTAAAGAAATCTCAATTTTAAAATCATAATCAACATACATTATATATTTTAAAATGATTGTCGTGATTGTCTAATATGGAATATTCCAATGAACTAAATAGATAATATTCATATTAACAATACTTTTAAAATTATGGTAGGAACAGAATCATCCAAATAAATTTCAGTGCTGATTGCCATTCACAAATTTTTGATGCTGCTAAAGAGCCTGGATCAAGTGATTTTAAACTGATAGAGAGCTCATTTATTTCCAACAGCCACAAAAGATTAACAGCCAGATTAAAACTGAAATACCAACCTGGCTGATTTGAACATCCATTTTTAGAAGACACACCTCCTTCTCTTGTTCCTTTATCTGATTTCTCAGTTTGGCCACAATTGTGAGGACTATGCCTTGCAATGCTTGCTGAAGTTGGTTGTTTTTTAGTATCAACTGCACTTTGCAATTTGCTGTCTTCTGCTTCTTTGGAATTTAGATTTATTTCACTGATTTTAGAAAAAATATAATCATTACTGGAATCATTATATACAATAGGATTTTCTTTGCAAATGTCTAAGGAAGGAGAAATATGAAAAACTGAGTCCTGCACTTCTCCATGGTCTCCATGGCTGTCTGAGTTTAATGATTTTTCTGACTGCTTACAATTCAGCTTTCCGGTATTCATTTCTAGGTCACTACCATGTGTAACATCAACAGTCCAACCTTGACTTGCCCAGTAGCGAAACTGTTCCCAGTAATACCAGTAGAGCTCATTATAGTGTTGCTCCCACTTGTCCTTCATTTCAGGATTATTCCAAGGTTCAAGATTAGCCTCCTCCTGTTTCTTATCCCAGCTTTTCCATAGAAGCTCTTCTCCAAACTGATGCCAGTATTTCTCCCATTCTTCATTTATATGAAGCTCATTCAGTGGCATCCTTCCATTTTTACAGCATTCAGCATAATCATTTTCCTTTTCCACTAAGATTTCATCATCAGAAATAGAATGGTCATCATCATCCTCTTCCAAGGACTGCCACATTGTTTCATGGATATCTTGTTGTAGCAATTTTTTCTTCCTTTTGTTTTTCTTTGTCATTCTGTTAACTATCTTGCCAGTCTTCTCAGGGGCCTAAAATGTAATAGGAAAGCAAGCAAATAGAGTAATTCTGGATTGCATGTTCAGGTTCAATATCCTAAACTTATTTCATTTTCCAATTTGGCACTTTCTGATGGACTGAGATTATACCAGTGAAAATATCAACCATTAAAACTAACACTGGTGGAGACTCTGAATGCTTCCTAGGCATTATTAGAAGAGCAACAGCTAAAAAACAACAACAGGGATTTCTTTTTGAAGCCACAGTATGGCTATTTTATCAATAAAGAGAAAACAAAATATCTTCAAAGATTCATGAACTGAAGCAATATAAATAAGGCCTGCATCTTCAAATAATGAGCTTTTGGATTTCCAGTTTATTGCTTCAATTAATCATAAGAAACATATTTTATTGTTATTTGAAACCCTTTAGGTACATTTGCACTTGAATCTTCTTTTGCCATCAATCAGACAAAATAAAATGTCAGAAGACTGTGAATTCTACTCCCACCTTAATCATGAAAACCAGCTGGGCTACTTTAGTCTAGTTTCCCTTGTATCTGTGATTTAGTTTCCTGTGCAGGGTTGTTGTGGGGAAAACAAGAGGAGGAAAAAGTATATTCACTGCCTTCAGCTACTTATATAGTAATAAAGGCTGGTTAAAAAAAAATCTATGAAATAAAAATGAAGAACAGTAAAACATGGAAATAAAAAGCATTAAAAATCACTATTTTCTTTACATGCAATGCAATTCCACTACATATTTCTTAATTTATTTCCTAATTCAATAATTTAAACTGAATTAAATTGGGTTTTACCGCTTTTGTTTTATTGGCTGCCAAACTGCCAAACTGTAAAGGTAACCCCATACTCTTCATGAGTTCAGTTTCTGAATCTGGTTCGACATCATCCACTTCCAGAGCAAGACTGTTACATTTTTCAATAGTCTCAAAGATTGGTTTCTCCTCTTTTTCGTTATCTTCAGTAACTTCCTCTTCTCCTGTTAATACACAGTAGAAGTTTAGAAGGTAAAGTCCATCAATTTTGGATTTCTGATGAAGAAAACTAGTTTGGTTTAGGTCTAACATCAGGTTTTGGGTTACAGATTCTCCCTCTGCTATCTACCTTTTTTTTTAAAAAAAATACAATGCTCAGTTAAGAAGCACTTGTTCAGCGACCAGATTTAACATGGTGCTGAATTAGTATTTAATAGAATTCTTTAGAATAAAGATGTTCCTCAAAAGTGCATTCATGATAGCAGCCCTCCCAGTCATGTGATCACAATTCATGTGCTTAACAGCCAAGGTGGATTTTCTACCTTTGCAATGCTGGTGGTCACATGATCAGATTTTATAATCTTTCCTGCCAGCTTCCCACAAGCAAAGTTGATGAAGAAGCTGGCAGGAAATTAGAAGTGACTTTTTATAAAAGCTTTAATGCACTAGTCAATTAAACACACCTGAAGATATTAATTCTCATATTGGTCTATAACAATGGTTGCAAAAATCCAAAATTAACAAACTTTTCAATAAAAAAACTCACCTATGCTATCATCAGCCTCTTTAACATAAAAGCCTTTTAAGCCTAGTTTGTATAATTTTCGATCTCTGGAGAAAAAAAAATAACATCAATGAGATATGGGACTAAAGCATCAAGGAACTACACAAATGGGTAATAAAAGGGGATTTTTTTTTAGTCTGTATTTCTTGTGCTTAATTTTCTTTCAAAACTTAACTTGGTATATCAGTGGAAAAATTTCAATCCAGCCAAAAATAAGCATACTGCACACAACCTAATTTAAGCTAGAACATGTACAAGAAGGTTGCAGCTGCTTAATTTTATAGAAGAATGAATACTATTGTTAGGCAGAAAGAAAGATCTTCACATTAAAAAATAAGCAATGAAGAAACAGATTTTATCACTCGGATCCCTTCAATAGTTAGAAACGTATAATCAAATGTTTTATTTGATCAGTCCAAAAGCTGGGAACCACCCCTGAAAAAGACCTCTTTTGCATAGGGAGGATATCTGGATGAAATCCCTAAATATTGGCAGACTTGTGCTGAGATAAATAATCCTTCAAATAGCCTTGAAGTGCAGCAGTGAAGAATTATAAAAGGGAAGACTAGTATGTTCAATTTGGTTATAAAACCTATGTAACAGCTGAAGCAGACAACAGATAATCAAAGTTGGAAGGGATCTTATAGGTCATCTAGTCCAACCCTCTGCCCAAGCGGGAGACCCTATACCATTTTTGACAAATAATAAATAATAGGCAGCCCAATCTCTTCTTGAAGGTCTCAAGTGATGGCACTCCCACAACTTCCAAGGGCAACTTCTGTTCCACTGGTTGATTGTTCTCACTGTCAGAAAGTTTCTCCTTATTTCCAGGTTGAATCTCTCCTTGTTCAGTTTCCATCCATTGCTCCTTGTCTGGCCTACAGGCACTTTAGGAAATAGCTTGACCCCTTCCTCCCTGTGGCAGCCCCTTAAATATTGGAAGATTGCTATTGTGTCTCCCCTGGTCCTTCTCTTCACTAGACTAGCCATGCCCAGTTCCTTAACCAGGAAGCAGATAAGAATATTATTAATAAAAGCTAATTCCTATTTGCAGTTTAGAAGACATATTCCAGACTAGTTTACAAAGCATCATTCTATGCTTATAATAGTACAGTAAAGTAAGTTGCAGCTCTTTAGTTTATTCTAGTAACATTTCCATGAGTCATACAATATATTAAAACACAGTATGGCTTTTTAAAATTAATGGATAATGTGGTTTGTTTACTTTGGGCTCATGTTATTGTACAAACACTACTTGGTTAGACTGTGTTGTAGGATACAGCAATTTCCCCCTACAAAATGAGTCTTTACAAAAAACAAATGCCCCGTCTTTTGCTCCACTTCAAAAAGCATGCCAGGCAACAATCAACCCCCGTGCAAGGATACACTGCTCGCCTTTGGGTTTAATTTCTATTGAGATCCACGCGAGGGTGATAAGAATAACTTCCTAAGCGCTGAGAGGTCGCATGGTCATCTGTTATGCCTTTGAATTGGCACAAGGTGTTCTTTTTCTTGCAAAAGATTAAGAGGCTCGACTTAAATCAGAAATTCAAAATCCTCGGCCCCACATCTCTCCCCTCTCCCAAGCGACAATCGCGTCAATCAGTGTTTTTCACCTTCAGCATCTTTTAAGATGGGAGGACAGCAAGCTGTCTGGGGGAATTCTGGGATCTGAGATCTACAAGACCCTGAAGTTGAGAAACACAGATCTAGAGGCGACCGAGAAGAGCTTCGGCGCCGACTCACTCGACGAACGCCCGGGAGCACAAACAGAAGATGGCTCCCACACCGCTGCTGCTGCCTTCTCCTCTGCTCAGCACCATTCGCACCTCCGCCACCAGCAGGCTTCTCTCGCCCTCGCGCAGCATCGCGATCTGGGGCCGCCGCCGCTGCACCGCCTGCTATTATTCCCTAGCAGCAACTTCGATCCTCCCGAGGGAGCAAGCATGAGGTCAGCCTTACAACGGAAGCGGATCTCCGCGCCCGTTACCCTCCTTGGAGTCCGGAAGGGGAGGAGCCTGCTTGCAAGCAGTTGTCAGCAAGGCCGTCCTTTTGGAGGGCGTGGGGGTGCGAGGCTGAGTTGTGAGCGAGAATTAACAGCTTTCAGTATAAATTCTGAACGTCCTGTAGAAGACGAGTTCGCATAGAAACAATGGAAAAAGTAGCATTTCAGCAGATGTCTCTAGAAAGCGGCCTACCGCACCCCCTGGAAGAAAGAGACAGAGATGAATATTTTGGAACAGTATCTTAGCTGGCTGGAGAATTCTGGGAGTTGAAGTTCACCCGTCTTAAAGTTGCCAAATTTGAGAAACACTGCTTTATAGAAGGCATTGGCAAATCCTCCCTAGTTTAGGTAGTCCTCAACTTACAACCACAATTGAGCCCAGAATTTCTGTTGCTAAGTGACACAGTTAGGTGAATTTTGCCCCATTTTACAATCTTTCTTGCCACTGTTGTTCAATGAATCACAGCAATTGTTAAGTTAGTAACACAGTTGTTAAGTGAATCTGGCTTCTCCTTTGACATTGCTTGCCAGGTTGCAAAAGATGGTCACATGACCTCAAGACACTGCAACTGTCATAAATGAGTCAGTTGCCAAGTGGCTGAATTTTGGTCACATGATTATAGAGATGCTGTAACAATCATAAGTGTGAAAAATGGTCATAAGTCATTTTCTTCAATGCCATTGTAACTTTGAATGGTCATTAAATGAACTGATGTAAATTGAGGACTATCTGTTTACGAATCATGATTCTTCAAGGTGATCTTTTATGATAACCAATCCCTTTGCTTGAAAAACCTGCATATGTATTATTAACCAGTGCCTCATGCTTTGATTTGAGAATTTTCCATTTCCTATGGGATGTCTGTTTCAAGTTACTGTTAATGGAAAACAGGCTAATGATTGAATAAATGCATTTTGTCAATAGACAAAACAAGTTTCTCTGTGCTCTTTGCCAGTTAATGGAAAGCATTGAGCGTTGCAGTTTCTAATCAAATTCAAAGTTTGAGCCCAAGTTCAAGAATCTTGGCCCTTCCTCCCTCCCTCCCTCCCACTTCCCTACAGCAGCCTAGGACAAAATGTTTCCCATTTCTGCTAATTTTTCCCCATCATTTTCTCCCACTAATAGTGAAGAGGTTCTTGGTGATGCCAGCCTTGACATACTCCTTCCTGCAGGTGGAAACCACTGTTTTCATTATGTGCCATCAAGTCAATGTCAACACCTAGTAATCATATAGAGAGATGTCCCCAGTCTGGGCCTTCAGGTCTTGCAATGGAGGCATTCATTGTCACTGTAATAAAATTTGTCAACCTTGCTGGACATTCTCTTTCTTAATTTTTGTTCGAAAAAAGAATTCTGGATTGATTTGTCTAATGATCCTTTTTTTCCCCCTTGGCTGTCCCTGGTATTCTCAGGATTCTTCTCTATCCCCAAAATTCATTCTGAGGGAGTTGCTGATACATGGACTAATTAGATTTCAGAAATAATTGAATTACCTGTTAGAAATAGCCAAGACTATTGCGTTATAATTATGTTATTTAATTATGTGTTTTTAATCTGAAGGTATTTTTGTATTCAGTGCAGTTTATATTTTGAGCAGAGTTGGGATTGCATTCCAAGATGTACAGTATATAAGTATTTGAAATAAATACTTATAATTCTTTTATTTGTAAATATATTCTCCAATAAAAGTTCTTTGGCCTCTATTAATTTGAAAATGCCTTGTTACAATTAAGACACCATTTTCTTGTACTGTATGTATACATAACTTCTATTTTATCTACTTGGGGAAAAAGACAGAAAGAGGGGGAGGGAAGGAGGAATAGAGGCAGGAATGGAGAGGAGGGTAACTCTACCTGTAATTACAGCATAGTAAAATCCATTATCCATTAGCACCTCATTTTCATACAATCTTTCACTAGCCCATTAAACACAGGAACTGATACGTATGTTATTCAATTACATAGATTTAGTATTTTTAATATTTATTTGATTTGTCAATCGCTTACAAGATACAGGTATAAGAATAAACATAGTTTTGAATACATGAGATAGATACTTATAAGAAAAATAAAAAGAAACAATAGGATGGGGATGGTAGGCACGATCGGTGCGCTTATGCACACCCCCTACAGGCCTCTTAGGAAGGGGGTGAGGTCAATAGTATACAGTCTAAGGTTAAAGTTTTTGGGGTTTGGGGAAGAAACCACAGAGTCGAGTAGAGTATTCCAAACATTGACCACTCTGTTGCTGAAGTTGTATTTCCTGCAGTCAAGTTTGGTGCGGTTAACCTTGAGTTTGTATCTATTGTGTGCTCTTGTTATGATTGAAGCTGAAGTATTCATTGACAGGTAGGACATTGCAATGTATGATTTTATATACTATATTTAGGTCGGACCGGAGGTGGCATAGTTCTAGGTTTTCTAGGTCTAGAGTTTCAAGTCTGGTGGCATAAGGTATTCTGCAATGAGTAGAGGAGCAGAGAACTCTTCTTGTGAAATATTTCTGGACTTTTTCAATTGTGTTAATATCAGATACATGATATGGGTTCCAGACTGATGAGTTGTATCTAGCAAATGTTTTGTATGCTCTAGTTAGTAGTGTGATATTACCAGAGAAGAAGCTACGTAGGATTAGGTCAACAACTCTTAACCCTTTTGGGCTATGTAGTTACAGTGGGCTCTAGCACTTAGATCATTAGAGATGAGTACTCCAAGGTCCTTGACAAAGTTTGGATCCTCAACAAGGTCTTGATTATTTAGCTTGTATTTTGTGATATTAGACAGGATGGATTAAATAAGCATGTTGCTGGGCTATTTCTGTGTCAGTTCTTATATAAAATATATACAGTATTTAGTAGCACAACCCAAGCTATTTTTAAGTGCATGCTAAAAGATACAAGTGTGCAGTATTAAGGGTCTGTAATACATCATGGAACATTTCATCATTCACAAGTTATTTAAAATAAACCCATTTTGGGGTTTGGCAAATCACTTCCAGATGAAGACGATTTAAATCCTTTGACCGAGGAGATCGAGGAGATTTTTCGCGTGAGGGGCTCAGCTATCAGATGGAACATACCACAACCGACTGTAGGTAGAGGTTTTATTTTTCACTGCTTTCCCTCTGAAAAGCCCCATATCGCTAAAGATAATCTTTTTAAATTAAAAGCGCAGCAAAACAGAACGACAACTCTTTTGCTTATATTTCCGAATTCCAAGACATGTATTTAAAGCCTTTGCATCCTGAAATGGTCCAGCCCAGAAAAAGCCAAATCCTTCCTCGCAAGTCTCAGCTGCGCTTCGTCGTCCTGAAAAGAAAGACGGCACCGAAGATCTCCTCCTCCTCTTGCATCTACACGATGCGCAACTCCACACTGCATTGCAGCTTCTCGGTGTTGCAGGTTTCTGCGCGATATCCCCATTTGCTCTTCCATCGAACGCTTTTGGGCCGGGCCGGGCCGGCTCATTCCTGCCACCCAGATTCGTTTGCGCCCGGGATGCTGTCAGGATGCTTAGAGTCCTTGGATGGAGCGCCGAGATTCAAGTGATCCCGAGCGAGGGCGCGGTTCCCAAAAGTTGCTCGGCCGGCATCTTTAGCGGCGAGGGAGAAACAGTGGGAAATGACGCCTCACTCTCGGAATCGAGAAGCGCTTGAAAGATGCAAAGGCCCAGAGAAGGCTCCCCGCTAGTCTCTTTGAGGTTCGATAAATTAGTTTGATCTGAAAAAAGGGCTTTTTCCTCTCGGGCCGCTGCAGCTTCGGAAAGGGCTGCCAGACTCCATAATTGCAGCTTTTAAGGAAGCCCTTTCCATCTCTTCCTCTCAAGTCTTTCATTGCTATTTCCTGTTCCTGGCAGAAACTTTCAATCTGGAAATTGCAGGTTTTATTTATGTTGTATGCCTGTGATTTTATCTGTCAAAATTGCCTTGAACGAGTTTCTGCCTACAAATATTTTAAACCCGAGTGAAAGGGCATCCTGGTTGGGGATTATGGGAGTTCATATCCAATACCTCTGAAAGCCTTGACCCGCTTCTGAGTTAAATATAACTTTTTTGCAGTTGTGGTCTCCCTTGACAAATTCGTGGAATGTGGACAATTTTTAGGATATGGAAATAGGTTGATGCCTATTGCAACAATGACAGCTACTTAATAATTGTTGGCCAGTGTTAAGAAGCTGTTTTTCTATCCCATTGCTTTTTTAGTTTTAAACAGAAGAGAACTAATATGAATTCATTTTCTGTTGGGCAAAACTATCTGACCTGGGTCATGGAATTACTGAACAGTATCAATATGTCTCCACATAATATCATAAATGGTTTCACGGATTACTCAGCATACTTTTTCTGGGTGTCAGTACTGTTCCTACTTCTCTTTTCTCCTGTTTTAATAATTCTTGGTTTTATTTATTTTTCTAATTTTCTCTTGCATATTTACAAGAGAAAAGTTAACTTAAAGGAAAATTATCTCAGTCAATCATGGGACAATGGACGGAGGGCTGTGGCTCACCTTTGGGACATGTATGGTACAGTGTGGCATGGTAAGTTTAATCTCCTGCTTGATCTACATGTTGATATGGCTTTGTTGACAATACCACAGTGGTTTATAATAACTTTAAATGGCACAGGAGAACAACATGCAGTAATCATGTGATCTTCAGAACCCTCCATAAATGTCATGCATTGTTTAATTATGTGTGGGGAATAATCATATCACTGCACTTAATGTGAAATATTTAGATAATGTAAGTGCATTTACAACATACCATACCAACCAAGTATTGTTATTTTGCAAAGCACAGAAAAGTAGTAAGAAATAATAAAAACTGCACTGCATGTGACTTATTGGAGGAATGCAGGTAACAAGATGTTGGCTTGCAAAAAAAAAGTAGATCAGAAACCCTATCTTGTTAGAAAAGCATGAACATGCTTGTGGTAAAATTGTTCTGGTTGACTCATACCAGAGGTGGTATTCAACAGGTTCTAACCAGTTCTGGA